AGAGGGAACACAAGCAGGGGGAGTGGGAGAGGGAGATGCAGGCTTCCCATTGAGCAAGGAGCCTGATGTGGGGCTCGATCCCAGGACCCCAGGATCATGACCTGAGCCGAAGGCAGACACTTAATGACTGAGCCACCCAGGTGCCCCTAAACTAAACTTATAAATCTAAGTACTTAAAAAAAAATGCCCCTTGTGACAGGATCAACCAAATGTGGCCCATCACCTGTTTTTATATAGCCTCTGAGCACAGACTGGTTTTTATTTTTAAATGGTTGAAAAAACAATCAAAAAAGTATAATATTCTGTGACATGTGAAAATTATATGAAATTCAAATTTCAGTGTCCATAAATAAACTCTAATTGGAACACAGCCCATGCTCTTTCATTGAAGTATCATCCTTGGCTCTTTTCGGCAGGATTGAGTACTGACAGAGATGTACGGCCCACAAAGTCTAAAATATTTACTATCTAGCCTTTACAGAAAAAGTTTGTCACTCCCTGCCTTAAGAGACCATACATTTATTTGAATGATACTACAAATTGGGAAAATATTCTTGAAAGTCCATTTTTGAAAATGCTTTCAAAGCCATAACACATTCTTTTGAGTCTCCTCAGTGGTGGCAAACCTTCATTCTTTGATTATGAGTATGAATTCTGGAGGTGGCTAAGCCACCTGGAGCCAAAAGTTGAGTAAGACTGGTTATCAAGATGAATCAACCAACAAACATGTATTAATAATCTATATTTACCAAAAGCGAAGGTCTCTTCTGGAAAAAAGCACTATCTCAGACTTCCAATCACATGAGGGTATAGTCATATGTTTTCATTGATTTCCTTGATTCAAGATAAACAGGCTATCTATGCATGGAAATAGAAAGGGGGGGCACCTGGTGGCTCAGTCAGTTAAGCATCGGACTCTTGATCTCAGCTCAGGTCTTGATCTCAGAGTTGTTGAGTCCCAAAAAAAAGGAAAAAAAGAAAGTACAGAGGAGGAAAAATAATTCCGTAATAAAACTAGAAGATCTTCTTTCTTGTGTGGCTGCGAATATGCTGTAAAGTCTTTTTTTTCTTTTTTCTTTACAAAGAGGAACTCCAATAATACTTTGGGCAATATGCTTTTGGAATAAATGAGTGACTCCCAAATAAAATTTTATTTTATTTTTAATTTAGTTTTATATTTTATTTTTAAGTAATCTCTACACCCAACATGGGGCCCGAACTCATAACCCTGAGATTAAGAAGAGTTGCATGCTCCACAAACTGAACCAGCGAGGCGGCCCCCCAATAAAATTTTAAAAGAACAGGAGTCACTGGGTTGTAAAAGTTGCTTAACCTTCAATTAAAACCCATCTTATTGATTTATAATTACAAGTTATAAGACAAAATTAGCATCAATCAATCAGTAATCCCTTCCACTCGTACAAAGCAAACCATTTATCCCTGGCCCTGTTCTCTTCTAGTTCCATATGCTCTCCCTGAGCAATTTCATCTGCTCTTATGGCTTCAATTACCACTTACTCGCTAACTCTAAAATTTGAATCCCCAATCTCAGCCTCCCTCCTGGGCTCTGGATGCTCCCCTGACATCTCTACCTGAAGTGTCCAGAGACACTTCAAACTCGAGATGTTCAAAACTGAAACAATGCTCTTCCTTCCACATTAAAAAAGTAAAACAAGTTCCTCTATCCACAGTTGCCTAAGCTAAGAAACGAAGTCACTTACTTTTCTGTTCACCTTCAAAGCCAATCACGTTTTAAGCCCTACAAATTCTACATCTTCATCAACCTGTCCTCTCCTCTTCAGGTCTATTCCAATTTTCCCACTCCAGGCCCTTACCCTCTCTTATCTGGACTATTTCAATACCATTAGCTTTCTAACTTATCTCTCTCCCTTTTGCCCCTCTCCATCCAATACAGCCTCCTTCCCATACCACCGCTTTATCTGTCTTCATTACCTAAAATCCCTCACTGGCTCTCCATTATCTTTAGAATCGAGTCCAAAGTTCCTGGCATGATACACAAGCTCTTCAATGTGTGGCCCCAGCCGACTTCTTTTTCTCTTTCTGAGTCATAACTTTGTACTTACCTATATCCATATGTTGTTTTATAACACATCCTGTATTTCAAAGTATTAAAACTACCTTTAACACCACATTCTACAGTGAACAATTCTGCCAAATGAGAGGCACAGAAACTCCATGCTTACCTCATTTCTAGCAATTTCAGTGATCCTAACCTGTAGAGCAATCAAGCTCAGCAATTTTCTTTTTCTAGTTTATTTCCAAGCACCATCCCCTTGAGCCCAACCTCTCATCTCCATATACTCTGACCTTTATTTTTTCTAAATAGACTTTAAGATTTTTATAAATTTGTTTATTTATTTATTTATCTGAGAGAGAGAGAGTGCCCTCACGAGCGAGGAGGAGGGGCAGAGGGAGAGGGAGAAGCCGACTCCCCTCTGAGCAGGGAGCCCAACACGGGACTGGATCCCAGGACCCTGGGATCATGACCTGAGCCAAAGGCAGACGCTTTACCAACTGAGCCACCCAGGTGCCCCAAACTCTGATCTTTCGTCAATAAACTACAACATATTCCTCACAAATACCATATACTTTCACATAATATTCCTGTTTTCATCCACATCTTCTGTTCCCTTCCCCAACTCAGTTAACTCCTGTTCATCCTTCAAAGACAAATTCAAATATGGTACCTTCTCTCTAATCTTCCTCCTTATCATATGTAGAATTATTTTCCCTCATCATTGTTCCCACTAAATTCTATCTCTATCTCTGTTATAACTCTTATCACACTGAAATTGTAGGGATTTATTTACATAGCTGGTTATAAGTTTCTTGAAGGCAGGGAAGCATTTCCTTTTCTTGACTCTAACATTTAACTTATGGTCTGAGAACAGACATTTTAAACTTCTTATTGAAAAATAATCACCTCTTCTATTATTAAGATAATGCCATAATTGTAACTGAGTGACTGTGAGTTTAGAAACAAAAAGAATCCTGTCATTCACCAGGGGGAGAAAATGCTCTTATATACAAAGTATAATTAAATTGTAGCTTGGGCAAACCTCCATCCACATCTTGCAATACCAGTGTCTTTCTCTCCATGTCTCTTTCTTTCCTTTTTTTTTTTTTTGAAGAAGTTCTTTACAGAACTCTCTTTTAAACATACATTGGATTTTACTGGTATTTCCCTCACAGAATTTGAAACTCACTACAATGCACAAGTTAGGATTAGGATTTTTGGAGTCTGTCTGGTCTGAATGTTAGCTTTGCTGCCTAGGCTGTTTGATAGGGGGTTATTCAACCTCTATGTCTCTCAATGAGGACACTGAAACAACGATACCCCCTCATGATGCTGTTGTAAGGATTAAATAAGCTAATGCATGTAAAGAATTTAGAACACTGTCTGGCTCAGAATAGGTCTCAATAAATGCTGACACTGATGTTATCATCGGTTTTAAAAACAGCTTTCTTGCTACTTATTTTAGCCCACTTGGTAGAGTTAACCTCCCAGAAGGAAGGAATTGTGTTCTGCTCATACATGAATACAATGGAAGTACTAAAACTGTGCCTTGTAATATAATAGGTGCTCAATAAATACTGTGACTATAAGGCTTCAGACCTCCAAGATGAACAAATTATAAATTACAGCAAAATTTATATATGGAGTACATATTTAAAACGATGTTTTAAGTAGTTTCAAAACACCCATCTTCCACTGAACTGCTGAAACGTTAAAGCTTTTAAAGCAACACAGAAAGTATATTCACTAGGAACTTTCCCTCTACTCCATTTGATTTGCTCTTAGTATCCAGTGGTCTAAAATTCTTGTCTATAATACAAGACAGATCATTTAAAATACAATTTCCATGTTTATAAAACTCTTGTCACATCAAAAAAACTAACATTCTTCCTTTATATCTGCATTTTAAAAAATCTATTGCCACAGTCAACATTAAAAAAAAAAAACCCTAATGAAAGGCCAAGAGACACAATTACTACATTTCCTGGTTTCTGCCTGGGAAATTACTTCAGAACACGCCTACAAGTATCCCCGGTGAAAGTCTGCTGGTTACAAACTGCTATTCCCTTTTTTATTTCGATTCTCCCCCTAAGACCCCTCATACATTCACATACTCATAGAAAAGAATGCAGATGTCTATAATAAAGGCTGTACAAAAAAATACAGCTACATATTAATTTTGTTTTGAAGGACTAAAATCTTACAAAAGCAGATGAAAGTCTTGATCTGAAGCAATACACCCAGGTAACTTAAAACTATAACTATTTACTTAAAGCAAAGAAGTAGATTATTTGATTGGTACCGAACTTCATGATAAAGAATGTGTAGATAATGTGTGCTATTCTAGAAAAATTCATTGATCAGTTAAAAATGGACCATATTTCAAACAATGGTGATATTGTGGGGGCGGAAAAAAAGAGAGCTTAAACAATTTATTTACTCAGTAAACAGAGATTTAGGACTTGATCTAAAACACTGGAGGTCAATCACTAGCTTCAGGGTAAAGGCTTACAGAGTGCCTACTATGTGCCTGGCATTTAGCAGATGCTTTACAGAATAAGTTTGCAGCCGGTGCACAAATTACAATACCTAACATTTACAGACTACTCTCACTCATCTCCTCTGACCCTCAGAATACCCCTAGGCGCGAACATCCCAGATTTACAGCTAAGGAAACAGAGGCCCAGAAAAGTCGATTTGAGGTATCACATCTGTTCTGTGGGTCCTGGCCGAAACTCCAGCCCTTGACTCATCATTTAATCATCATCTGCTCTACTAGTTACTCAAAAGTTCTTGGATGTTCCACTGTCCGATTTTAACATCAGAATCCTACTGGACGACTTTCAGTGCTGCGCTTGTCAGATTCTGTTAAGAATCAAAACACACAAAAAGCAAGAATAAAAGTCCATCGTCTGGGGAAAAAAAAAAAAAAGTCCATCGTCTGAGCCTGTCGGCGTTCAAGCTCTCCGGCCGACCCCGGCGGGCGACAGCCCCGCGTTTCCATCGGGACGGGGCGCTCCCTCTCCCTGCCCTGGGACTGCCGAGCGCCGAACGCCCCCGGTCCCCGAGGTGAGCGGCGGGGACATGGCCCGCCGGGCTCCGCCACAGCCGCCGCGGCCCACGAGCGGGGCTCCCAAGGCCCGTCGTCGCGGGGCTCGGGGTCCGACACTCGCGCGTCCCTCGGGGCCGGGATCGACACCTCCGCCGGCCCGCTCTCGCACTGCCAGCCCGGCTCCCGACGCCCAGCGTGCGACATCCACCGCCGCGAGCGACTGAGGCCCCCGCCTCAGAGCCCGCCCCAGATCGCCCCGCGCCTACCTGCCCTCGGTTTCCACGCCGCCTCCGCGGCCGGGCTGCGAAGCTCTCCGCCTCTCCGCGGAGGCGCCAGGACTCCGCGCTCCTACTCGGCGTTGGCTCCGTCCCGCCCCCGCAGGCCCCGCAAAGGCCCCGCCCCGCCCGGCCGCGGCCCCACCCCCGCCCGGCAATGCCCGGTTCTTATTGGCTCCTCTTCCCACTCCTCACGCTATGGCCCGCCCCTGGTACCGCCCGAAAACCGTCGAGAGGGGAACCGCCCCGGTTCGAGTCAGCCTCTGGGCGAGAACCTTGTCTGGGACCTTGGTCGCCCGGACGCCGGCCAAGGCCTCTAGCCAAAGCTCCATTGCAGCCGCCGTGCCTGCGGTCCTACTGGCCCTACGGCGATGGACCTGAACTTTATATGAAGGTTGACTCTTCACAGCCACCTAGTTTAGTCAAGGAATCCAAATGGCACCTCACTCAAGGAAACCATAAAATTATCTCTTGCCACTGCAATTGCAGTCCAGTGCCAACTTGAAACGTAGACAGATGCAAATAACGCTCCGAAAGCCTGAGGTTTGAAGTCCCAGAGCAGGGTGCCTTTGATACTCCCAGTGCCTGAGGTTGGCCCCCACGCCCTGTTGTGACACACATGCCTGAGCACTACGCCTGCAACACGCTCGTACTCGGGTATGGGCATGGCGCTGTGCCTACTGCGAGCGGCAGCCCAGTTTCACTAAGGCTGCGAGTCGGGATGAGTTGAGCCTGTTTCCCAGGCACTGGCTAACCACCCCACCCCACCTCGTCCCGCCCCATTCCACCCCACCCCACCCTACCCCACCCCACCAGAGCCTCTTGGATCTGATGACCAAAATCTTCCCACATCTGTTCACAGAGAGGTACCAAAATAGAAGACTGCCAGAGAGAGAGGTGTTTGGTTACACATCACAGATGACTGTCACAAGCCAATTTAGCCAAAGCAGTAAAAGCTGCATATCCCACACCGTTGTGAAACCATGAGCTATGGACAATCAAACAGGAATTACCTTCAATGGTGGAAAAAAAAAGTAATGACAAGACATTTTAAAAATCGTGTCTTAATGAGGAAATAAATGTCAATATTGTTTGCCTAAATTTTGAACAGTGATCTTCATGGGTTACCCCCTTCACCCTCCCCCAAATCTTTCTATATTTAGAAAATTTCCCAAATAGTTGTCTAAGATGAAATTTTAAGCTAGAATAGTATGATTTTAAAACTTATTTCAAAATGCAAATTGATGTCGAAGTCCAAACTTTGCATTCAGGAAGATTATTTGGCAAAATGAGGCCGATTGAATTCCAAGTACCAAATATGAAACCAAATCTGGCATGGGTTCTATGGCTGTAATAAAGGAATTAACATGTATGTATTCTACTGCCCTCTCATGGGTAAGATGGAGATATAACTAATGGTAGTTAATGCTTTTTAAGTCTGAGAATAGAAAGTTTAATTTAGCAGTCTGTATTATTTTGATGACATGAAGGACGAGGTAAAATAAAATCAGGTTCTCCAAGGGACTTAGAAATACTCAGCAAACAGAAGTTCAACTTCAGAAACCAGGGAGAGGATTCTTACACTGGGGCTAGTATAAACATGCTGTCAGGATCACACCCATGCTTACGGCTACCTGTATAGAATGTGGAAACATGCAGGAATTTGCCTTTAATTTATTTTTTCCATTTGAAAAGTCATTACTTTCTGAGATGTTTCACAAAATGTTCTTTTTCACATTTGTATGCACCCATCTTAGTATTTCACACTGTGAACAACTTGAGAGTAGGAATGAAATCTTATTCTTTATACCTTTGCTGTCTAAATAGAACACGATACTTGGGCTGTTTTATCAGTAATTGTTTAATAAATTAAATGAACTATCAGCCCAGCCACTAGATGGCAACACAGTTGTGTGTGTAGAAGTATGGTCTAGCTAATTGGAATTCTACCTGGCAGGCCTTGAGTAACAGGCAGGTTTCTAAAAAGTTACATGTGTATCTTATTTTGGTAAGTAAGTTATTTAAAATGTACAAGGACACCTGACTGTAACTTTATTGCCAAGTATGTCCTTACAACTAAGAATCCTTTCGCAAGATAAATTCTCCCTAAGTGTAATAGCTCATAACTATGGATTTTTCTATATTGGGCAACACCTGTTTTTGTCTAAGAACGCCAGTCTTCTGTTGTATCCTGTCAAAAGGATGTTCCAGTGGTCCAAGTGCCTCAAGCAAATTTCATTCTATAAACCAAAAGCCTACATTCTCCCAATCACAAGTCATTTGCTCAAATTTTTGCCCCGCCTCAAGTTATTATTAGTTATTAATAGTTTTTAAGGTGGGGCAAAAATATGAGCAAATGTGAGCAGATGTTTTGCCTGAAAGTCACGGAGACTCTGGAGTCAGACAAGCCTTTGTCCCCATTGCTACCACTCAACAGATGTGTCCTTGTGCAGGTTATTAACTTCACTAACTTCAGTTTACTCATCTTCCCCCAAATGAAGGTAATATTATCTACTTCATAAAGTGAAAATGATTAAGTGAAATAATGTCAGTGGAATAATATCTAGTATAATCTTTGGCTTATAGTAGAGATTCAATAACTGGTAACTATTATTATTCATATTCTCCAGTGAAAATCTCACCCATATTATTATTTGGTTTATTTAATTTAGTCTCCTGATTTAAGGCCTTCAGCAATTAAATTAAGTTCATAACACCAGGTTTCATAGCGATAGGCCATGCGGATTTGGGCAACATTTGTCTTCCGGATATCATTTCCAATAGGGCCATCTTCAAGGTAATTGTTGCCCAGAAAGCTTGCTTTCTCCTGTAAGAGAAAAGGAAGCAGAATGATTGTTGTCTTTTTATCCTGATATAAACTATAATTACATCTTCCACAAATATTCCTTCCTTATCTTACTGACAAGAGGAAAAAATAAACCGTTAAAAGCACTCATCCAGTGCCTCAATGTTCACGGTCTGCTGAGAAGTCAAGTGTGTATTATTTGCCTTGCCAACGGCATAGCCAGAGAGGAAGAAGGCTTCTTTCTAGTCCCTGTCCACAGTAACGGCATATGATTTGTGGGAAAATTTTTCTACATGTGTTTCCCCAACGATCTTTTCAGTACTGTTACCAGATCCTATATGCAGAAGCACAAGCTGTCAAGCACAGGTCTACCTCATGAGAAATTCCACACTGCAGAACACTGTTTCTTGCCACTTCACACATATCACAGGTACTCAGCTTGAACACTTGTGCAGCAATTGCATATTCTTCCATTAGGGGCTCCTTGAATTATTTATTTAAATGAGGCAAAAAAGAAAGAAGAAAAAAAAAAGAGTGTATTAAAAAAATAATAACATGCACCCAGCAGAAAAAGTACAGTGAAATCCCTCGATTTGACTTTAAAATTCTAGTTGGGCAACAGGGGCACCTGGGTGGCTCAGTTGGTTAAGTGTCTGCCTTTGGCTCAGCTCAGGATCCCAGAGTCCCAGGATGGAGCCCGATGGGGGGCTCCCTGCTCAGCGGGAAGTCTGCTTCTCCCTCTTCCTCAGCTACTCCCTCTCCCTCTGCTCTTCTCCCTGCTCATGTTCTCTCTCTCTCGCTGGCTCAGTCTCTCTCAAATAAATAAATAAATAAATAAATAAATAAAATTCTGGATGGGCAACAACAGTCCCGCCAAATATGCTTGTATCACTCAAGATTCCATATACATACCTTGGTGAAGTGGAATTGCATTGGGTCATCTGTCGACAGTGAGATCATTAGTCCCTTTTGGAGGAAATCTAAAAAAGGATTTTTGGCATATTCTAGAAATAAGCTGTTGTTACTTAATGGTGACATAGCGATGGGAATCTGGGCTAAGAAAAACAAGTACTGTAACACAGGACTCTGAAAAGAAAAAGTGAAAAACAATATTTAAGGGTGTTGAAAAAGGGCTACAAACTAGAAATGTTAAAATCCCATGATCTACTTCAAGTTTTAGCTTTCAACAAGATGATCATGTGTTCTTTAAATCCCTTAGTAAAGAAGAATAATAGTGTTTAAATGTAAATACTATTTAGAATAAATTTATTTGGAATCATCAATTTTCAGAAGCATTGAGTCAAACCAAATGTTTGAGTTTTAATTGCCTAAGTTAGATGGTCTGTCTCAGAGAAGAGACTTCACCCTGAAACAGTTGGGTTTTTTTTTTCTCTCTACGAGAAAGTTCTGACTCTCACAAGAGGCGTTTGAAAACATGCTATAACAAGAAATCTGGTGAAAACCAGTTTAAGGTAAGCCAAGCGCCTCTGAATTATCCCTTGTCAGAATTCTAAGATGGAAGCCTGAAGACCTGCATTCATTCATCCCTGCCACTAACTGGCTAGGTAATCTTGAGCGGCTCCTTTGACTTCTCTGGCCTCTGTAAAATGAACTGCACATCATAACCTCAAAAATCTTTTTTGCTCTGCTTTCATTTGATGCCAGTGTTGATAATGACTTGTGACAAAATGGTAAGGAAAAAAAATTACTCCTCTAGTTCCAATATAAAAAGTATTCGAAAGAGAACCTCCAACTTACCTTTTTTAAATTCAGGCCGTGAGAGATATTATCTGCTGTCATGAACGCGGTCATGAGGTGGGTGAGAGCCCCAGCTTCCCCACAGTGAGGTCGGAACAGGAACGTATTCATGCCTTGTTCCCTAGGGAAAGGGAATTGCTGTATAATCACAGGTGGCTGACTAGGACCTGGCAGCAATTCTGGGCATGGAGTGATTTGCAAGAAAATCAGGTAGAAAAAAAAATTAACACTCTGTAAGGGAGTGGAGGCATCTAAAGGATTCAGTAAGACTGGCAATTCCAAATCATAATCTTAATTCTCCCTGAACCCAGACTTCTGAAAAAAAGAGGCAGCAAAGGATATGAGGGTATGGAGGAAAAGTCAAGATCTGATTACCTTCAGTTTCAACAGGAAATTTACCAATATCACCATATTCTCATTTCTTCTGCTCACGCTTTTGAGGGGGAAATGTTTCCAGAAAACCCTGTCATAATATTCCTCTATTCCTTACCCATGTATATCAAGAAGGGTAACGTGGAGTTTTATAATACATTGCACAGTGATTAGTATCAATTCCTAAACTGTGGAATTTCAGGAACTGTGAAAGTTACGGAAGGCTCCAAAATGTCCATTCCTGCTACTAAATAAAGAAAGAAACCAAACAAAAAGACAAGGGAAAGAAGGGTCTGATTGGGGCCAGTCAGAAGCATCCCAGCAGTGCAGTGGGATGACCACCCAGGGCGCCCATGTCTGAGCAGAGTTGTGTCAAATAGAATC